TATATATCATTACGTACGTACGTATATACATACATACATACATAAATGCATACATATGTATATATGTGCATACATACATACATACATACATAAATTTACACACACACACACACACACACATACGAGTGTGTGTGTGTGAATGCTTGTGTAATATATAAAACACATATAAGAACATATACTTTGAACCAGACAAGAAGATACTTGCTTTTAGGCACTTTTACACACAGGGGATATATATATACTTATCATTGTAAACAGTTATATGAATGTAAAAAATGTAGCTATCACTTGCAGATGTTTGTAATAGATACATAGATCTAGTAAGAATCACATCTAAGTCAAGAAATATTGGAGTGCATGGCATAGATATCCTTTTGTTTCGTTTGTGATTTCTGCATCCCAGCGGAACTATGTTACTGCGAATGATATCAGTATAGTCACCTTTGTATACGGCAGCTTGATACTAACTCACAAACACACATTCGCATCTACATATCGAACGCTTCACACTCATAACATACTCAAGTGATAATGGACGTTGGGGTTTCTCCATCTGTAAAGCCGTATGGTCCGTGGAGTATCGCTCTCGCATCCGATTGGGTAACTCGCTTGAATTCGTTCCATGCAAGCGTGCCCCAGCGAACTGCCGGCTAATACTAGGGTTTAGGGTCAGAGGCTGTGAGTCTCTCCGATAGGCAACTCTTCCCGCATTCACCGGTGAGCATTTGTGTGCGCATGGACCGGTGTGTTGCGCGCGCAGATCTGGCCCGGAATTTGGTGGAAAACAACCGATATCTGCGCTCTCGGGAGTGGCCAGCTGTAGTAAAGGCGCCGAAGCCTACAGTAGTTTGTAATGCATACAGACAGATACAACAGGCAAAGACATGAGTTAATGCTGCTTCAACGTGTGCTTTATTTATATATATGTTAAGCCGTTGGCGAGTATGGCACCCACTTCGGAAGATGGAGTACAGATGCGAAGAAAACCTACCCGACAGATGTCTGTGGCAATTTGCTTGCATGTCAATATAGGAGCACATACAAATTTGAAAACCATATACGTAGGATGTACACGTCAGCGAGAACACACATTTGCAAGTCATTTACGACACATGTGAACACACGCGCGCACAGCTTAGTTTGTATACGTATGCAAGACAAATATGATTGTAAGCTCACCTGTCTGAGTAAGGGAAGGTACTGGTCAAGGGGTAGAGGTGATTGCGGTGTAATGGCGATGGTCCTTTTCGAGGTGTTCACAAGCTGTACTATGGGCTGCGCCGGCATGGTGTGCTGCCTTGTAGCATTCATCGCCAAGCCCAGCGGGGGTGGAGTACTGATCGGTGTGCGTGAAAGTGTAGGGGACATACTACTAGTGGGCGAGAGGGTGTTGGAGGCTTGTCCGTGTGTGCTAATATAAGGGGTCGTATTCGCGTGCGACAGAAAGCGAGTGTGTGTGCGCGTGCTGCCGAGTATGGGTGACAGGGTGCAAGAGGTAAACCTGGATGCCGCCAGCCTACTCGTTACTGGGATACCGCCACTCTTTGAGCGATGGATGTTCTGACTATCATGCGTGAGCGAATCACTTGTGTATTGTGAATTGTCACTCGATAACCCGATGAAGCCGTCGCTGCTCGCACCTGGCAGGGATGTGCGGCTACTGCGAGTGCGTGTGTATGTCGGGTACGGCGTGTTCATATCTGTGTTCTGATTCATTGGTGTTGTGATATTGGCCTGGGCGACCTCTACTTTCCCGTTGTTATGCTTATTCTGGCTGCTACTTCCCGATGTCCTTACCCTCACCCGGGTGCGAGACTGTATAAGTTTTCCCGGGTCATTTCCTGCACCGGGTGCGATAGTCTGCGGTCCAGTGAGTGGGTTGGTTACGTACAAGGCTTCGCAATGGCTCCGCATACGTGCCAGCAACAGCACAGCGCTCTTCTCACCAATCATTCCTGTTATTTCAGCACAGTACATAATATAATAAAGTAAAGAATGAGTGGTCATGTCTGATACTCATGTAGATGAGACTAGTCAGAATTGAAAATATTGTACTGATTTCTTCAGTCAGATCATAAATTTGCTTACGCGGCCTCAGAATATTAGGCACCGAATTCATAGTACTGTACATTCGAGGCAAAAGGTCGAGCATCTCTCAGTAGCGGGTATACAGGCTGGATTGGGGCAAGAATTGTTTAGATTCGGATTCGAGTACAAGTTACTAAAGGCGGCCAACAGCAGACACTAACACTGAACCAAGTACGGATAACCTCTCGGAAAGACAACAGGCGCAACATGAATATCGAGTATCCACCACGGGCATGTATCTGCACTCGCTCCAATAGAGAAGTATGGCAGCATAATTGTACATGTAGACAATATATGTACCCTGCCCTAACACCCTACTGCTTGTATGTATGTGCATTCAACATACCAATGCCCAGCATGTCGTGGCACACGTGGCGGAAACTTTGCTTCCAAAAAAAGATTGGCATGTTCAACCAGCCGATAACGTCGAAGTACACACCCATGGGCGTTTGTACCATGCTATCCCAGAACGGTCTGAAAACTAGGCCGTGAGAATTACAATAGCGAGTGAGTTCCAATTCCAAATTTTACTTTCCAGTGTCTAAAGGTTTGGGACGAAAGCGAGAGCTTATTATCTCACTACCCGAGACCAGATTTGAACAAAACAGCGAGTCCTCGCTTAATTTCTGTGAAGAGAAATTGCTCGTCCATATAATAATCCATTCGGATCACAACACAATATTGGCCTGCAAGAAATAAGAACCCAGTTTAAATCGTACGCCTACACAAAGACAAGTAGTTTCTTAACATCGTAATCAAAATGGGTAGAATATCAAAATCCATAGATTGGAAATCTAGATACGCATTGGCGTGGTGCGAGCAATACTGCTGTCGAAATGATAGAGGCAGTCGAAGAATATAAGAACACCTGATACCTGAAGTCAAGCACATATAGTGTAGCTGCGCACTGTCACTCGCCATCAAGCTCAAGTTTCGGGTGAATCCATCTCCGTACACATCGGCCAGGGTGGGCAAACTGGAATATTACAATATGAGATTTAAAAGTGGCAATATAACATTGGAAAGTACGAAAACAGAAGCGGTATCAAGGCATAAGCATGGAGCGGACATATACGCTATGCTAAATGATGCCCGGCTGATTGCACGCAGCGCATAATTTGTCATGGTCAATATATAGTTGATGTCTAACCTAACAACCTATGTCGTATTTATAGCGGGGTCCGTACTCAAAAACAAAATGCAACACTTTCTGCTTATTCACAACATAAATGCTCTGTGCCAGACTTACAGTTGATTCCTGAGTTTCCCGCGTGTGCTCCATCGGGGAGTGGTGTCTTTGAAATAAGGTATGCCGTACTTGTGGGCAAAGTCAAAAATCTCTTTCTTCTCGTGTGGCATCATTGGGCGCCAAACCGTTACGCCGTTGACTACACTGGTTTCCGCCATACCAGCCACTTCCAGAAGACTGCAACCCTGGAGAGCAGGAGAAAGCGCACGGAATAGATAAATGATATATAGATGTGGAGTGCTTGTATGTATGTTTAAAACTGGCTTTGTTAGAAATATGTAGATTAAGTGATAGAGAGAACAAGGGTTAGTTCGCAAGGTCCAACATTCCGGACCACGACCACGACCACGAATATCTTGGCTGCACTTCTGTGTGATCTTAGCATGCTTGTGATAGACTACACTATTGCTACAGCCATATGTTGAAGCAACACTGACAAGTAAAACCAGATCTTGGATTCGAATGTGCATGAACATACGTTTTACACAAAAGATACCGCCGCCTCATCATGGCATTGAGGGGTACAACAACCAAAAATTCACTCAAATTGTATCGACCAAACACATGTCTCGCTGCTCCACCTACCTTCATCATATTTGAGATGACATTTTCCTGCACATCGCCTTGGTGATGGCCTACCAACACGCCACTGACAGCTGCGGGTGTCCCATCCGGTTTATATAAATTCTTCATGATTTTTTTATACAGATTGTACCTCACATCTCGCGATCTGTAACACACAAAGTGTGAATTTTTAAAAGTTCTTGTGAATACAAGCATTGTACAGCGCGATAATCACCTAGCTTTCAAGCTTGGTATATCTTGCACACTGTACAGACAATAGCGAGACAGCACAAGTTTTTATCGATCAATACAAACCGAATTAGTGTACACCAAATCGTTCTCTGTATTAAATTAGATAATTTATATATCCACCGTGTCTTACGACTAAAGATCTAAAACACAAACTTTGGGTACTACACATTTACGAGGATATACGAAAAGTCTGATTGCTCAATGCCTCACATACTCGTGCTCCATGCTCCATGATGGTGCCGACTGTCGTACATAGACAAGCGATACGCCAGTGTATTGCACATCACGGTCGGACACAACCCAGGCAGAATAGTATGTGCAACGGGACCATACAACGCACTTAGACTTCGAAGCATAAATTGATTAAGCTCGAATTGCAAATGATATCATTAAACAAGAAGGCCAATAGTGCATGCAGAATAGAATGTCGTACTTTTTTTCGTATTCATCACGCGGAGTCACGCCTCGTTGTATGTCATCGATGGTGTGTATCACGATGTCAATCCCCAGATTTTCACACCACTGCTTTAGGAAATTGGCCTATCGAATTCACGGAAAAGCAAACATGGTGAGTAGGGAACACAACCACAAACAAAACCGGGAAGAGATCGTAATTGCTCGAGACAACATGGTATACTCAACGCTCTAGACGCGCTTAGAAGTAAAACCACCTATCCGAATGAAACAGGTCTGCCCTACAATTGAAAGTATCAGATATGAGTAGCATACCTCGGCGGTGCTCTCTTTGCGGTTGTTGTAGTCGATGTGTGCGCAGACAACCTTGATATTGTTCAATAATGGGCTCAACCGGAGGCAACAGTATGCCAGTACCATAGAATCCACCCCGCCAGACAGCGACAGCAAAATGTAGTCCTGATAAAATAACGATAAATGAACGAACGGGATGACTAGAAGTTTCGACCGGTAAAGGGATACTGATTCCTCATATAATAACATATATGATACAACTACTTAAACATACTGTTCGTTCCCGCAGCACAAGATGCACCGTAGAACAAGAGTACTACACGTCCGGAAGATGACCTTGAGAGTGACGGGTGTATTTAAGATGTGGCGACGGAACAGCATTACAAGTTGGGGCATTTTCAAGGTTCCTTATATTGCCCAAGAGCTACATACCATATCCGATGTCTTGTGTTCTGCTAGAAACGAGTGTATCGTTTTTGTCAGCGACGTGCTCAATAAACTACTCTCGTCGGCTTGAAACGGATGGAACTCCAAAATATCGTCCGCATCTCCTGACTTATTTTGCTATGATATATCAAGGGTAGCTCATTATGTGAGTTTAGAAGCGTCGTTGAGTTATGACTAGGAAAGAACAGTGGGAGAATGTCATCCTACTTTTGTGCGTTTGCATAAAAAATAATGATCACGACTACTTTACCACCACCACATACAACACATTTCTAAATGTCCTCTCTTACTATGACGATTCCCATGTGAAACAAGTGTGTAGATAGATAGGTCAACGCCCATAAACGTATGTGTGTATACTTACCAGGTCATGTAGCCTCCTCAGTGAGGTTTTCCTGAATTTACGTAGAAGGTCAGCCCTCTCTTCATTGAGGGTCACGCGCTCATCAATCTTTGCCAGCACAGTCTCCAGCCGGTCGACTGTAGCGCTGTGTCTCAGTGGCATGTACACAAACACCAACTGCTCGATAGTGTATGATTTATCCCACTTCTTCGCCATGATGGTTTCGGTTAGTTCTAGGGCTTTCTTGTCGTTTGCGGATACGCGGGCATCTCGATCTGTGAGACCAAAATGTTCGAATCAGATCAAAATCCAGCCAATACTTAGTTCGGTGTCTGTGAATCCCGAAGACATTCATACTTTATTTGATACCTAAATTGCATCTCATACCTTCATGATTCTTCATTTTAGTCACACATGCCAGCAAGAATTGAGCTACCCTCTAATTCACAACGTAAATTGATCTCATATGCTTGCTCTCAATATACTCACCTTCTGAATCTCGGTAGAAATGCCTAGAAAACTGATCCAACACCAGAATGCGCGCCAGCGCACTAGTAGGAGATAGCACAGACCAATCACCATCATTCAACTGGTCCTGTTCCGCGGCCTGTAATAGTTGTTGTACTCGCATTAGATCGTTGCTGATGAAATAGTATTTCACGGAGATATTCTGGTCCGTGTATTCTGTATATTGTAAACTTATTGCTCAGCGCAAGGCGCATCACGAACTAAGGTATGCAGTACATACAATGGAAAATATATAGAAGTTCGATGCGCATTGGTATCTCCCAAAAGATATACACAACTCTAACAGCTGTGTGTTTAGTGACTATTGAAAATAATGTGTTTTTCTGTGTACTTATTGATCACGCAGTACCTTTAAGGTGTCAGCAAATCGCTCACTGATATAATCGTCCACTTCTTGCTGTCTGCCGTCATTGACAAACCATATTCTCTTGTAACTGGCCGAAATACCCTGGTCATACCAGTAAGAGAGGACATCTCCAACGGTAGCAACAGGCTGGTTAGCCATCCTAGCTGTGCAGCCCCTGCAAGCATGACAAGAGTAGACTGAGACAATTGAGTCGCAGAATTTGGCATCAGAGTATAGCAAGCGATAGAGTCGAGGAATGGACAGAGTTGTCACTGTGTTGACACTCACTGTGTACTTACACTGTGGAACTTTGTTTGAAAGTGATTAAATATCATGTGCCTACGTTTCACATTTTCTGACCGACACGCCCACACACACACACACACACACACACACATCCACACCCACACCCACACTCACACCCACAAAAGAAAACCATACATACACACATCCCCACGCATACACATACACACACAGACACAGACATATATATATATATATATATATATGTGTGTGTGTGTGTGTGTGTGTGTGTGTGTGTGTGTGTGTGGCCATACGTCGGTATTTAAGTACAATACATGCCGTTTGCATCCTGTGCACATGTTAACGCTATCTGCGTTGTATATCTTCTTCTGCATGCAAACGCTATTTGCTATCTACACTCTTCAAACTCAGCTTCTATGCATAATATTTGTGCATTGAAGTTCCGACAGAGTACCTGTGAACAAACGCCGAACCTATTCATGTCACTCCAGTACGTTTTAGACCTTGCTCAAAATGGGGCAAAGTCAAACAGTGTGAAAACAGAACACGCTTGCATATATTTAACATACCAATACGGCCCCTATAGATCAGACCTAGTAGACCTACCACGACGTGCTCTATGTAGCGTAAGTTCGATAATGTCGTGTCGTGTGAACCAAAATACTAAAAATCACTGCGGAGAGATTATTAGTCAGTTATACATACACTAAAAATTATCCACACGATCTCATTGAGAGTGACTCTGCCACACTCCCGGTATTTTGTACAATATATATATTTTTTAAATGAGTATTTTATTCGTCTTTCATGAGTGTACTATATATGTTATATATTTATATATAAATGCCACACAAACACTTTCTGCATATGTACTGTATTAACTGTTCGCAAAGTTGCAGCTCAGAATCTGTATTTATGTTGCAAAAGTTGAAGTTAAGGTGAAGCATATTGGCTCTTTCAGAATCGATAATGAAGGGAAATAATCTATGTAATTGCACTCGCGTTACGTAAGTCTACCTTGGATATACCGTTCCGGTATCCCTGTCTCATAGTACATACTTATGCGACCCGATTACTAGCTTGGTAGACGTGAAAGTCTAGATATATGTAAACTTGTGGGCTTCTATGCATGTACACATAGCAGGGCTCTTCCACATGGAAACTGATTCTCAAAGCTGATCGTCGTATATCGCTAACATTGTTGATAGGTCCTGGAATTCGTTCTGTTTAGTATAGCGAATTGAATCTACTGTTCTACGCACACCCACACTAACGGCGACATAGGAAGACCTAAACTGAAGGCTGCAATTAGTGTTGCTAAAAATGAGTGTCGAAGCATTAGAGCAGCAGATAGAGGAGTCTATGGTGCTGCAATCAGTTTATGGGGACGAAAACTTCTACGTGGATCCAGATACAATAGAGAAGGTACATAAAATACCGAGACAAGGACAACTGTCACGCGTTCGAGTCAGAATACGGTGTAGTAGTGACTATTCTGTTCAGTATCAAATAATAAAGGATATGGTTCATTGCACATACAACGAAAGCACCTTTCAAACGATAAACTCTGTGGAATAGGCTACTTACAGTCTGAGGATTCCAATCATACCTATAGAGTTTATAAAAGGTGAAACCTTTGGCACGCGTGTGTTTGTATGTGTTTTCATTGTTTCTTCTGTATCTCAGTATGCTTGTGTATGATATCCGAGAAGGTGCGTTCAAGAATGTATAGAGACGAACTTAAATAATCATCTTGGTATATTGAATGAGGCACCGTTAAACTATACGCCACTATCCCTTAGCATATCTGAATGATCTAGGCAACATCATATTTACCTCCGTACTTTACATTATATATGTGCAGTTCCAGGAATGGGTAGACAACCAGTCCAACAGTAAGCTGCCCCCCGACTTTCCCACGTTGTTCTTCGATATCACTCTGCTGATTCCCACCGCTAACAAAGGTACGTCGGTTTGTACAGGCACCCATGAATATTTTAGAAAATGCGGTCCGAAACTGGACAGAAGCCTGTTTGTGGTATTATTGATGAACAGATGGATGAACAGATATACTTTTAGTACTCAAATGATGTAAGCCCACTTACTTGTACGTATCGGGTACGTGTGCAGACAAAATCACAGTGCGATTTGATCTCCCGTTGGCCTATCCCGACACCGAATGCTGTCAAGTAATGGTCAGCAGTCCTTCTCTAGCCCGTGAGATACACTCTCATCTGCAAAGTCGAGGTGAGTTATGTTCGTGGAATCCTCCCACTCACAAATGTATTTTGAATGCATACAAATATACATGTTTTTACACAATAATAATATATAGTTTATATATATATATATATATATATATATATATATATATATATATATATATGTATATATTTATATATATTAGTATATATATATATAAATATATATATATATAATGGATATATATAATATGGATGTATTTAAATATATATATTTATATATATATATATATATATGCGTAATCAGTACATATTTTGATTCTAGTTGACGAATATGTGCTGCTTTATGTGCGGTTACATTTAAATATGAGGTAGCCTAGGATCGCTTTCTGTACAAATAGATACGAGCAAAGGGGTTGTCCTCTTAAAAGTGTTTTTGTATCTATAGTATACGAATATCGTATCATATATGTCTCCAAATATGCTGCTTTGTATGTGTATTATACACGTGATATGTTTCAGTGTACCTGTCATAGATTGAGACTATTATGTTTTGTTCTGCGATCAGTATGAGCCGGATTTGTCTTCAACTGCAGTGTTGTCTCAACGGATTGTATGCCTGTTCCTGTATCGTCGGCGACTATTTATGATGATGTGTACGCCATGAGCTAGGACAGACTTCCGTTGAAGTGTCATAGTAACCACCACAGTCTGGTGTGAGTGAGAGAGTACCTATAAAAAAAATTACGTGTCTGATTTGAGTATATCGATAGACAGTGATGCTATCAATAGCGCCTGCCAATTTTTCTCCTGTTTCTTTGCTCCTACAGTGCAGGAGTACATGCAGCAGGAGGGGCAAAACCATTCAGATGGGCAACGAGCACTGGGAGTCTTTGATATAGTCACCTGGATCACAGAACTGCTGCCGTCTATTGCCGAGATGGCGGATGCGGCTGAAAGTATATCCCACTCAGTTTTCGTTGTTTATTGCTTTTCCCGTTCAATGTGATGATTTGCAATGGAAAATCTGGTCTATCAGTTGAATGTGAATCAGTACGTCTGCGTGTACTTTTAGAACAAGTTTTTATATTGCTGAGGCAGAATAATACTAACAAGGATTTACTTCCTATGATTAGTTGGTATTCATAATAGTATATAACATGTGCATGAGTTTTGATGTTTTCATATTTCTCGCACGATTTCCGTTACGCATACGACAGTCGAGAAGAGGATCGAGCGAGAGGTTGACACCAAGGCCGGTGGTGAAGAAGATAAATATGTGAGACAGTGGATGTTCTTCCATCATGTATACAGCAAGGTGTGTCAGTAGCATCCAATCGAATACAAACGTGGGACCGGGTGTAATCATGTATATAGCAGTGCACTTCCCATCGTGGGATTGCGAAGTACGATTAGCTGCCCGGTGTCGCGCTGCTGTGAAATATCGGTACGTTTCTACATTCGATCATCTTTACTACAGCTTTTCTTTCCGTAATATTTGCAGACGAAACGAATCGACATTGTCGCATGGGCGAAAGAGTTGGGTCTAAACGGATTCTTGAAAAGCGGCAAACCTGGGGTGGTCTGTCTCGAGGGAAATGACAGTGCGGTTCGAGAAATGCTTGTGATTATGGGTGGATGGAACTGGCAGATAATCAAACGCAAAGAGTGTCACGTGATCTCCAACAGCATGGAGAGCACAGGTCTTCAGGTAGGCAATTATGGCCTAACCTATTGGGTTAGGCTTCGCACCTACATGGGAGACCCTACATACTTCCAGTCATCAAATTAGTGACTTTTTTTTTACTCGCAGCTGTTTTTTTATGAAATATGGATCTGACATGCTTTCTATTCTACAAGTTAATTAATTCAATCGGCTTTTTTACTTTCCATTACTGTCTTTGTCCGTCACTCTTGGTGTTTACTGTTTAGGCCTGTTTCTCAGGGGAAGGATTTCTCGAGCTTAAAGAGAGGGATTGTGGACTGGTTTTAGAATGGCTCAATACAAAATCATTAGGAACCGAGTTTATGGCCACATTAGGGCTGTCGTATGTCCCTTGAAAAAGTGACTACAAAATTGTGACAGACTGATGAAATAAAATGATTGTATTGACCTTGTATGTTCCACGATAAGTAGAGACTAGTGACAGCAAAAACAAAATAGATGACATAGTAAACCATTTGCTAGTCTCGTGAGGAAAATCTTGCATATGGAAACGTAACATATATTAAAGAACTCGGATTCAGCAAGAGTTGCAGAGTTTTCGATAGATAATCAAACGCCAGTAGTGTAGAAATCACTTCGAAATCATGTTCATTCTAAAACAGAAATCTTTTTATAGCGAAAACGAAAAGGTGTGAACTGCAATTTTTGTACATGAAATCATGATAACCCCTAATAGTCATGAAGCACAACATCTGTGTAGTATAGACAATCATTTCGACCTTGTGTAGGCTATACTGTACTTTAATAGGACTTCGGTAGCATTTTTATCCGTACACGCCGCCGTAAACACGAGACGAGTGAGACTGAGTATCCATAGTTCGGCGCCATCTATAGTTACTTGACACTCTCGTCCAATAGTATTCGGTTTCCAATTGAATCACCGATATAAGCGCGCCAAACCTGTTTTCCATGCGCTCGCTTTTCGTCAGCGATATTTTACCAATGTGCTTGCTACACAGAAGGCTAAAAATAAATCACAGCTAGTGAATGGACTGTGTACTGTGAATATTAATCAATATATAGAGTATGACGACGGAAGCGAGTGCGGTTACAGCACTCAATACACCTGTAGGAGACCATCATACGGTGCGAAAAAATATCGACGAATACTAGATCAGGTCAACCTAACATCATAATGCCCAGTACAACTGACTATGCGTGGTTGCACCGCCCCCTGGAAGTGGTTCGCATGTTAACCTGTATGTTTTATCACCTGGGTTCAAGTTACTTTTGGGATATTTTTGCGAATTTTTAACACGATTATTAGTTGAGCCTATCGGATACATATGTCTTGTACATATGTACATATACAGATTGAAATGTGTATTGATATAATCGCCGGTACCACCTGGTACAAATTAATATGTGAATTGAGGACTTTGACAAGTTGTTTCCACCGTCTTCAACTTGTTAGATACATACACGTTTGGATATACTTATGTAATACAGAGAGTAAATATGAATACTCATTTATATGTTATAATATCTACCTTACAAATATCAAACTATGTTTGTATTCTTATTTTTGTGTATGAATTAGCTAGTTAGTCCACCCAACTTACATCCGCAATTGCATAGATGTATATGTCATATTTGCGCCAAGTGTATGTATGTGTTCAGATACAAAAATATATATTTATATTATCTATATATATAAATATATATATATATATATACATATATATATGTATAATACAAATATATATATAAATACATATACATAAAAGAGTATATATATATTTATATATAT